CCGAGGTTGCAGTGAGCAGAGATCACGCCACTGCACTCCAGCCTGGGCGACAGAGCAAGACTCGATCTAAAAAAAAAAAAAAAAAAAAAAAAGTACCACAATGAACTAAGCACCACAATGAACTAAGAATCCTCTACGAGCTGTTGAGAAGCCACAGCTGCAGCAGGAAGAACAAAGAATGAGGGTGGGTCCTTTGTTTGGGTCAGAGGTTTTGTGTTAACTGAGAACCAAGAGGAAACAAAATTATTCACCTGCTATTTTTGCTTCTGGCTTCACCATCAAAGAAACTGGTCAGATAGGAAAGAACAGACAGAACGAACTGTAAAGGGATATGCTGGCATGAGCTCTCACCTCCAAGGCTAGAAGACTTTGCAGACTTGACCGTGGAGCCAGCCCCTGTAAGAGCTGAGAAATCAGAGAAGGGAGTGGAGGGTGCTGGAGAGGGGTTCGGCAACTACGGAGCAGTTCAGGGTCCTCACATCACATCACGACTTTCTCCAGCTTGATTAATAAAGCATCGAATCTATTAACCAGGACCCAAAGGATCATTTAGAGTTTAGGGAGATTTGCTGGGGATGGAGACTTTGACTTAAAAAAGCACTAGGGAGGTTCATCCTACACTCATCTATTGAGCCAGCCACCAGTGTGTATGTGTGTGTGGGGGTGTGTGTGTGTGTGTCCAACCAGGAGACTCAGCTGATACTGCTTCCTTGAGATTCAATACACCTTCCTTTGATCTCTCCTGTCCCCATTATCCCAGGAAAATCCAGAGTAGCTTCCAGCCCATTCTCATTAGTCCACTGGATCCGAAGTTTAGAGGGGTTCCCCTTCCCTCCAGCCTCCTTCTTGGCCCAACAGAGGAGCACCCCACCACCCTCCATCAGCTGCTCAAAACCCACAAGGGAAAATCCCAACAGGTCCACGCCAGGAGGTAGTGCAGCCACCCTCAGGTTCCGTTAAGTCATATCAGAAGGCTGAGTGTAGAAATGACACTAAGAGGGGTTCCATCTGGAGGGGAGGGGTTCAAGATGCAAAGCTTTAGAGAAGGTTCTCCATCTAATGATGAAGATTAAGAGCACTGGTGAACCTAGGAAGATGAAGAATGGAGAGTGGGAAACCAGCAGAGATTTCAGGAAACATATAGGGGCATCTTCATTGTTCAAAGCACTGGAGAAACAAAGATTATCAGACTGTGGTCCCTGCCCTTTAGGAGCCCTGGTTACAGGTGACACAAACTGAGAAGAATTGGTGTCCATTAAAAGTGAGAAGGCAGCTCTGTCTGATGGAACATATTGCAAGCCATGTGTATTTTAGATTTGCTAGTAACCACATTTTTTAGAAGTCCAAAGATTGGGCTGGGCACAGTGGCTCACGCCTGTAATCCCAGCACTCTGGGAGGCCGAAGCAGGGGGATCATGAAGTCAGGAGATTGAGACCATCCTGGCTAACACTGGGAAACCCCATCTCTCCTAAAAATACAAAAAATTAGCCAGGTGAGGTGGTGGGTGCCTGTAGTCCCAGCTACTCGGGAGGCTGAGGCAGGAGAATGGCGTGAACCCGGAGGTGGAGCTTGCAGTGAGCCGAGATCACAGCACTGCACACCAGCCTGGACGACAGAGCGAGACTCCGTCTCAAAAAAAAAAAAAAAAAAAAAAAAGATTGGCCAGGCACAGTGGCTCACACCTGTAACCCTGGCACTTTGGAAGGCTGAGACAGGTGGATCACCTGAGATCAGGAGTTCAAGACCAGCCTGGCCAACATGGTGAAACCCCACCTCTACTAAAAATACAAAAATTAGCTGGGCATGGTGGCAGACACCTGTAGTCCCAGCTACTCAGGAGGCTGAGGCAGGAGAATCTCTGGAACCCGGGAGGAAAAGGTTTCAATGAGCCAAAACTGTGCCATTGCACTCCAACCTGGGCGACAAAGCGAGACTCCATCTCAAAAAAAAAAAAAAAATCCTCGTTTGTATAGCAGTGAGTATCCCCACCTGTAGAAAAAAAGATAATAATAATAAATAATAAATCAAAAGAGGCCAGATGCCGTGACTTATGCCTGTAATCCCAGCACTTTGGGAGGCTGAGGTGGTGGATTACTTGAGGTCAGGAGTTCGAGACTAGCCTGGCCAACATGGTGAAACCCCCTTCTCTACTAAAATATAAAAATTAGCCAGGCATGGTCATGGGCACCTATAATCCCAGTTACCGGGGAGGCTGAGGCAGGAGAATCGCTTGAACCCAGGAGTCGGAGGTTGCAGTGAGCCGAGATCACACCACTGCACTCCAGCCTGGGCGACAGAGCAAGACTCCATTTCAAAAAAAGAAAGTCAAAAGAAACAGGTGAAATTAACATTAATAATATATTTTATATAAGCCAGTATATCTAAAATAGCATCATTTCAATAAGTGGTCAATATTTTTAAAAATGATTGAGATATTTTACATCCTATTTTTCATACAGTCTTTGAAATCTGGTATATAATTTCCACTTACAGCAACATATCGACTCAAACTAGCCATAGTTCAGGTGGTCGGTAGTGCTGAAATCCAGGGGCCTGTGGGATGCTGGGGAGCACCAGAGGGCCCCTAACTCAGCCAGAGGACACATGGGAGATTCTCTTTGTTATTCCAAGACACATTTATCCAGGGCCTGTGACATGCCTGCTTCCTAGAGGTGTGACAGCCTCACCACATCATGATCAGAATAAAAATATTCCCTCCTGGTTGAAAAGAGGAACTATTAGAAGGTGACATGTGATCACTTAGCAAATGAGTTGCGTATTTATCGTCAACGTATGTTTTTAATCGTGGCAGAATAGACATAACATAAAATGTATCACCTTAATCCTCTTTAAGAGTACAATTCAGTGGCATTAAGCACATTCATCTGTCTGTGTAGCCATCACCACCATCCATCTCCAGACTTTTTTCATCTTTCAAAACCAAAGCTCTCTACCCATTAAACAGTAACTCCTTCTTCTCCCCACCCAAGGCCCCGGCAGCCACCACCACTCTGTGTGCCTTAATGAAATTGACTAGTCTAGGTCCCTCATATAAGTGGAATTATACAGTATTTGTCTTTTCATGTCTGGCCGACTTCACTTGGCATAATGTCTTTCTTTCTTTCTTTCTTTTTTCCCGAGATGAAGTGTCTTTCTGTCACCCAGCCTGGAGGGCAGTGGCACAATCTCAGCTCACTGCAACCTCCGCCTCCAGGGTTCCAGCAATTCTCCTGCCTCAGCCTCCCAAATAGCTGGGGTTACAGGTGCCCGCCACCACACCGGGCCCTTCACTTGGCATAATGTCTTTAAAGTTCATCCCTGTTTAGCAGGTGTCAGAACTATTCTGTGTAAGGCTGAATGACATTCCGCTGTGTGTATAGACCACACTCACTCCTCCATCCATTGGTGGGTGGACACTTGGGCTGCTTCCAGCCTTTCAGCTATTATGAAAATGCCTCTGTGAACAGGATGTACAAATCTCTCTTCAACACCCTGTTTTCAGTTCTTCAGAGTAAATACCTAAGAGTGGAGTTACTAGATCAGATGGTAATTCTATTTTTATTTTTTGAGGAACCATCATACTGTTGTCACTTTCTTTTTTTTTTTTTTTTTTTTAGGAGTCTTGCTCTGTTGCCCAGGCTGGAGTACAGTGGCACAATCTTAGCTCACTGCAACCTCCACTTCCCAGATTCAAGGGATTCTCCTGCCTCAGCCTCCTGAGTAGCTAGGATTACAGGCACTCACCACCACGCCCAGCTAATTTTTTTTTTTTTTTCTTTTGTATTTTCAGTAGAGATGGGTTTTCACCATGTTGGTTGGCCAGGCTGGTCTCAAACTCCTGACCTCAGGTGATCCGCCCACCTCGGTCTCCCAAAGTGCTGGGATTACAAATGTGAGCCACTGCGCCTTGCCCATCACTTTTTAAAATAGCCTTTTTAGGGGGGTACAGTGGCTCACACCTGTAATCCCAGCACTTTGGGAGGCCAAGGTGGGCGGATCACCTGAGGTCAGGAATTCGAGACCAGCCTGGTCAACATGATGAAACCCTGTCTCTACTGAAAATACAAAAAATGGCCGGGCATGGTAGTGCACACCTATAGTCCCAGCTACCCGGGAGGATGAGGCACAAGAATCGCTTGAACCTGAGAGGCAGAGGTTGCAGTGAGTCAAGATCACGCCACTGCACTCCAGCCTGGGCGACAGAATGTGAATCTCTCTCACATTAAAAAAATAATAATTAATTAATTTAAATAAAATAGCATTTTTGGCCAGACATGGTGGCTCATACCTGTAATCCCAGCACTTTGGGACGCTGAGATGGAAGGATCACTTGAGCCCAGGAGTTGAAGACCAGCCTGGGCAACTTGGTGAGACCTCATCTCTAATCTCTACAAAAAAAAAAAAAAAAAGAATTAGCTGGGCATGGTGGCACATGCCTGTAATCCCAGCTACTCAGAAGTCTTAGGTGGGAAAATCGCTTGAGCCAAGAAGGTCAAGGCTGCAGTGAGCCGTGATCGCACCACTGCACTCCAGCCTGGGCGACCCAGCACGACCCTGTCTCAAAAAATAAAATAAAACAGGCTGGGTGCAGTGGCTCACACCTGTAATCCCAGCACTTTGGGAGGCCAAGGCAGGTGCATTGCCTGAGGTCAGGAGTTCAAGACCAGCCTGGCCAACATGGTGAAATCCCATCTATACTAAAAATACAAAACTCAGCCGGGTGTGGTAGCACATGCCTGTAATCTCAGCTACTTGAGAGGCTGAGGCAGGAGAATTGCTTGAACCTGGGAGGCTGAGGTTGCAGTGAGCTGAGATCGTGCCACTGCACTCCAGCCTGGGTGACAGAGCAAGACTCCATCTCAAAAAAAATGAAATAAACATTTAAAAAATAAATAAATAAAATAAATTTTCCAGCCAGGAGTTCTGTGAAAAAATATTTGTGAACCTAGAAAAAGAAATGGAGAAAATTGATCATTAACTGTCCTCTTTCCCTCCACAGTTTTTGGGCCATCCTCATCATAACACACTTCTGTTTTTCTCCTTTCCATTCTCGGATGAGAATGATGTTTTTGACAAGCTAAGTGTCATTGCAGAAGACTCTGAGAGCAGCAAGCAGAATCCTGATGACAGCTGCAGCCTCGGGACCCCGTCTGGGCAGGGACCCCAGAGCTAGGCTCTGAGAAGGAAACACACTCGGCTGGGCACAGTGATGTGCTCCATCTCACATCTGCCTCAGTGAGGGATCAGGGCGGAAAACAAGGGCCAAGACCATCTAAGCCAGCCCCACATCTAGAACTCCCAGACCCTGGACTTACCTAAGCAACCAAAGAGCTACATTTTAAAGGTTCGCTTGGCAAAAATATTCCATTTGGGAACTCACTGCCTTATAAAGGCTCTCGCGATGTTTTTAAAAGTTGGCCACTGAGAGTGTAATTTTCAGCCCCTTATATCACTAAAATAGGATCATGTTTTAATTGTGAGAAACAGGGCTGAGCGCAGTGGCTCACGCCTGTAATACCAGCACCTTGGGAGGTTAAGGCAGGCGAATCACCTGAGGGCAGGAGTTCAAGACCAGCCTGGCCAACATGGTGAAAGCCCGTCTCTACTAAAAATGCAAAAATTAGCTGGGCGTGATGGCACATGCCTATAATCCCAGCTACTCAAGTGCCTGAGGCAGGAGAATTGCATGAATCCGGGAGGAGGAGGAGGTCGCAGTGAGCCGAGATAGCGGCAATGCATTCCAGCCTGGGTGACAAAGTGAGACTCCGTCTCAAAAAAAAACAAAAAAAAAATATGAGAAACAGAAATATTTAAAAATTTTAAATGAGGAATAAGAATGGAGATGTTGTAACATTCTACCAGATTATGGATAGATTGATCTGAAAATGAACCTCAACTCAAGGGTGGTCAGCTCAATGCTTTCCAGAACACGGACTTTTGGATTCTTTGGGGTACTTTGACTGAATTTATTTTTCTACCTATATATGTTTTATATGCTGCTGGTGCTCCATTAAAGTGTTACTCTGTGTGGCACTGTATGTGTTCATGATACGTGATACTACCTGTGTGTAATTGTTAGATATACACAGTGTGAAAAAGGCTCTAGTTTGCCATCTTGATGTCCACTCATTCCACAAGTACTTCCTAGACCCTGCCTGCTGTTGACCAGGCACTGTGCTAGGTACAAGGTCTGAGTCATCTGGGATCTCTCAGTCTAAAGCTTCAAAAACTAGATTTGCAGTCAAGGGCCAGATCTGTTATTTAAAAAACAAACAAACAAACAAACCCTAGAAATAAAAAGTATAGTTGTGGAAGTTTGAAAAGCCAGGGGACAGGCTTAACAGCAGGTTAGACACAGCTGAGACTAATTTTGACTTTGAACTGAGCAAAAAAGGGAATCTCCAGGTACAATGGCTCACTTCTGTAATCCCAGCACTTTGGGAGGCTAAAGTGGGAGGATCACTTGGGCCCAGGAGTTGAGACCATTCCAGGCAACATGGTGAGACCCCTTCTCTATAAGAAGTTTTAACATTAGGCACGGTGGCATGTGTCTACAGTCCCAGCTCCTCAGGAGGCTGAGGTGGGAGGATAGCTTGAGCCCAGGAGGTCAAGACTACAGTGAGCTATGTTCACCCCATTGCCCTCTGGCCCTGCCTGGGTGATGGAATGAGACCCTGTCTCAAAAAGAAAAAAAAGAAAAGAAAAGGAAGGGTATTAGGGTTCTCCAGAGAAACAGAACCAATAGAATGAACACAGAGATTTATTTTAAGGAACTGTGGAGGCTGGCAAGTTCAAAAACTGCAGGGCAGACTAACAGGCTAGAGACCCAGGGAAGAGTGGATGTTTCCGCTTGAGCAAAAGCAGTCTGGAGGCAGAATTAACTCTTCCTCAAGGGACCTCAGGCTTCTGTTCTCTTAAGGCCTTCCTTCAAGTGATAGGAGTGGAACTCACCCACATTATGGAGGGTAATCTGCTTTACTCAAAAATCTATGGATTTAAATGTTAATCTCATCTTTAAAAATACCTTCACACCGACATCAAAACTAATGTTTTACCCAATCAGTCTAGCTAGGTTGACACATAAAATAACCATCACAGGGAGGGTAGATCTGTGATTGCTTTTTTGAAACTTTTTTCAATGTTTGCTGCATGTATATAGAAATAAAATTTGGCCAGGTGTAGTGGCTCACACCTGTAATCCTAGCACTTTCAGAGGCTGAGGCAGGTGGATCACCTGATGTCAGGAGTTCAAGACCAGCCTGGCCAACATGGTGAAACCCCATCTCTACTAAAAGTACAAAAATTAGCCAGGCATGGTGGTCCACACCTGTAATTCCAGCTACTTGGGAGGCTGAGGCAGGAGAATCACTTGAACCCAGGAGGTGGAGACTGCAATGAGCCAAGATCACACCACTGCACTCCAGCCTGGGTGACAGAGGGAGACTCTATCTCAAAAAAATAAATAATAAATAAAATGTAGTTTTGAAGTTGAATTTTAAGACCTTGTTACACTTTTTTAAAGAGAAAGAAGTTATTATCTAGGGCACAGTACAGAGAAACAAAAGAATGGAAAATATGAGTGGTTAGGATACAAGACGTATGAAGGGTAGAGTGAGATAACCTACCACATGTTGGTTACTAACCAGAGTCCCAGAAGGAGGTGAGAGAGAATATAGCAAAAGCAGCATGCGAGTATTTGAAAAGACAATGGCTGATAAAAGACATCAGTCTACCAATTTAGGAATCTCAACAATTCTCAAGCTGGGCAAATAAGAAGAAATCATATCAGTGTGAAAATACAGAACACCAAAACCAGAAAAGGCAGGGTGAAAAACAACCAAACTTCCAGATGATTTATCAGCCCTAACAGAAGGCAAACAGTGGTAGGATTCCTTTCATGTGCATCACAAACTTTGTCAACTTAGAAGTGTATATTTTGCAAAAAAAAACAAAAAAATCTGTCAGGAAAAGGGATAAAATAAAGACTGAAACAAAACTGTGAGAATTCGACATCAAAACATGTTTATTAGATAAAGATCTAAAGGATTATTTCAGACAGAAGGAAATTGATCCCAGATGGATGCTGCGATATTATGAAGAAATACAGGAAAGAAACTGGTAAATATTCTGGTTAATCTAAACAAACATTGACTCTATGAAACAATCGTTTTTTTCTCTTTTTTTCCTGAAGGGTATCATGTCAGATTATAGTTAGTGACACACCACATGTTGTATAATAGGTCTCGAGTTTAAATTATTGGTTTTTTTAGTTGTTGTTTTGGAGGTTTTTGCTGACACAATACCTTTGGGAAAAGTACCCCTGAGTCAGAAGGGGTAACAATGTCTTTTCAAGGTTCTCCACTCCTTACTCTCTCCCTCGCATAAAGAAGCCATGGCAGAGGCACCTGAAGAAGATCTTGGATAGAGAGACCTGGGAATGAAGGAGCCACGGCTGGGAATGCAGGTGTGTGTAAGAACTTGGCAGGTCAGGGGCCTGAAACCTTGACCTCAGCTCCCTCCAGGGACTGCAGTGTCCCGGCTGTGCCAAGTCAGGTGTGGGTAGGGAGTCTCCCCGTTAGACTACCAGGCCTTGCAGTTGCCCATAGCCAGGCCTGTAAAATGACATGCAGGATTTTAACCGGAAGCTGGACTTCTCAGCTTCCTGTCTACAGAACCCACCCAGTCATATACAATCATAGTGAAATATCACCCGCCTGGAATAACCCACCCTTGACTTGCTTGCCCCACTCCAGGTACTGTCACATTTCTCTGGCAAATCACTAAGAGAGTAGCTTTTAAGTGTTTTTTAACACAAAAGATGTTAAGTATATGAGGTAATGCATATTTTAATTAGCTCAATTTACCCATTCCACAATGTATACATATTTCAAAGCATCATGTTGTACATGATAAATAAATACAAGTTTTATTTGTCAATGATAATTTTTTTTTAATTTAAACAATGAGTTTTTAAAACAGCTAAAATACAGGTGAGGGAAAACTAAAGTACTTTAAAGTTGTTGTGTTTGGGAGAAGCATAAACACACTGATTAATCTGAGACATAGATGAGTTTAAGTATGTTAAAATTTCTAGAGTAACCTCATTAACAAAGAAGTTTTTCTCAGTGGGGAGGGGGGTGAGTTTTGTCCCCCAGTGGACATTCAGCAGTGTCTGAAAACAAATCTGGCTGCCACGGCTGGAGATGTGTTGCTGGCATCTAGTAAATAGAGGTCAGGGAAGCTGCTAAGCATCCTACGATGCACAGGGAGGCCCACACAGCAAAGAATCATCCAGTCCAAAATGTTAATAGTGTAGACACTGAAAACCCCTGTGCTAGAGGAAAACGTGAAATAAAATTACCCAGTCAGCGCCGGGCACGGTGACTCATGCCTGTAATCCCAGCACTTTGGGAGACCGAGGCAGGCAGATCACTTGAGGTCAGGAGTTTGAGACCAGCCTGGCCAACATGGTGAAACCCCGTATTTACTAAAAATACAAAAATTAGCCAGGCGTGGTGGCAGGCACCTATAATCCCAGCTACTCTGGAGGCTGAGGCAGGAGAATCGCTTGAACCAGGAGATGGAGGCTGCAGTGAGCCGAGATGACGCTACTGCACTCCAGCCTGGGCACCAGAGCAAGACTCCATCTCAAAAAAAAAAAAAAAAAAAAAAGCCGGGCGCAGTGACTCATGCCTATAATCCCAGCACTTTGACAGGCCAAGGTGGACGAATCACGAGGTCAGGAGATCAAGACCATCCTGCTAACACGGTGAAACCCCGTTTTTACTACAAATACAGAAAATTAGCCAGATGTGGTAGCACACTCCTGTCGTCTCAGCTACTTGTGAAGCTGAGGCACACAGAGCAAGAATCGCTTGACCCCAGGAGTCAGAGGTTGCGGTGAGCTGAGATCGCACCTCTGCATTCCAGCCTGGGCGACAGAGCAAGACTCTGTCTCAAAAGAAAAAAAAAAAATTACGCAGTAAAAGGATTACTTGGACAAGGAAGGAGAGAAACGAACCTTAACAAAAAAAAAAAAGGAACAAATACAAAACATAAAGCAACATAATAGAAATGAATCCAAAATCAAATGGACTAAGTGATCCAGCAAAATAAAAGTTATCAGACTATATTTTTAAAAAATAATACAGCTTTAGGTTTTTATAAACACCCACAAAAAAAAAAAAGAAAACATAAGGATACAGAAAAATTTGAAGTAAAAAGAGGGCAAAAGATATACCAGGCAAATTCTAACCAAGAAAGCTAATTTCACTATATTAATATCATACAAAATAAACTTTAAGGCACAAAGCATTACTAAAGAAGGACTGCTATATAATCATAAAAAGTTTCAGCAGGACACGGTGGCTTACACCTGTAATCCCAGCACTTTGGGAGGCCAAGGCAGGCGAATCACGAGGTCAGGAGTTCGAGACCAGCCTGACCAATATGGTGAAACCCTGTCTCTACTAAAAATACAAAAATTAGCTGGGCGTGGTAGTGCATGCCTGTAATCCTAGCTACTCAGCAGTCTGACGCAGAAGAATCGCTTGAACCAGGAAGGCAGAGGTTGCCGTGAGCCAAGATCACACCATTGCACTCCAGCCTGAGTGACAGAGCAAGACTCCATCTCAAAAAAAAAAAAAAGAAAAAAGTTTCAGTTCACCAGGAAGGTGAAGCAGTTGTAAATGTATATGCACTTAACAACATAGCTTTGAAACAGATAAAAATGGACAAAATTATAAGAAGAATTAGACAAATTCACCATTATATTAATATAGTAATGATAGCTGGCATTTGTGTAGCATTAACAATAAGCCAGACATTATACTGAGCAGTTTCCAGGTCTGTTGTCTATTGAATCTAAGATGCCATCAATTTTAAGATTCACTGTTAATATTTGAACCACTGGGGAAAAAAGGAAAGTGTCACTTAGCTATGCCTCATTATCAACTGTAAGACACATCTAAATGTCAGAGCTGTTAAAGTGCACTTGTGTGTGTGGAGAGAGAGAGACAGAGAGAGAAAGCAAACGTGG